ATATATAATAATATATAGATACATACATATATATATACATGTTATTCTATATATACATATATATAATATAATAATATAATAATATAATAATATAATAATATACGTATATATATATGTATATATATATATATATATATTGACATGCGGTACACCAGTACGTACTTGCTTGGCCTTCTCTTTCAGCATCATCATAGACGGATCTGCTTGCGAGAATTTAGATCGACTCTTCGACGCCTGTGGATTCATAGTTCGTGTTGAGAAAGAAGTTCAGACTCTAAATTGAGTGCGATTTTTTGGATTCAAATACCACTCACACGTAGTACTAAAGTACCCGTACCCACAAACAATAAGAATTAGATTGCATACCTTCTGCAACATCTCCTCGTCTTCAGCGCGTTTCCTTTCGCGTGCTTGTTTGTCCATGCGCTCGAAGATCAATCGCTGCCGCCTGTTATCGCCGGTCACTTCGTAGTCGAAATCTAACGCCGTCTTGTCCACATCGATGCGATGGTGACTACATGAACCAACAAATTACGTTGCAGCTTGTCAGAAAGGTTCAACGAGTGATTCGGATGAAACTATAGAGCTAGAACATGTACCACCGCCTTGTTTGCGCAATTCAGGCCGGTCTTGACAACACCGATGCGACTATGTGTGCATCTTACCTGAGATTGACTACTCTTTTTAAGAACGAAGTCATCTGCAGCTGCAGTCCGGCTGAAAGGGTCTCTAGTACATCCGGCGACACATGCTCCATGCCGTGTTTGTGGGCTAATCGGGCAGAGAAAAAACAACTGTCAGTGACTATTTTTGGCACGCGAATATTAATCTACATTGATAACTAAGAATATAGTGTCGCAACCGATAACACAGATAAACATTCTCTATGCGGTTTCTGTATGCTGAATGGGCAGAGGGAATAAGGGGACACGAACATGCGATAATGAGAGATACTTTTCTTCGCATTAGAATTTTCCTTGCCATAGAAGTGTAGGGTATGGTGTAGTAATCCATTAGCTAGTAAAATTATAGTATGCACCCGATCGGTGGCAGTATTAGATGCATATATACATATATACACGTTTAAATGCAGGACTTATTTTGGAAGATTTTGGACTCCGAGTACAAAAGTATACAATACAATTTATTACAATAGGACTCGAACTCCACAAGAAATCAGTCAGTGCGCTACACCGATATCGTGGCTGATTATAGCACATAATATCGTCCAACAGTGCTGCTCGAGTCTAAATAGGCACCTGGATAACAGCACATGACAGCGAAATAAGCAGGGACTGACTACAAAAATAGTTCAATTCAACACCATACCGCAATTGGCCATTTTGAACTTCAAAGCGGGATAAAGCAGGAACATATTGTCCGTATCCACCAGGTCCCCTTTTACCATTTGATCAGCATCTTGTGGTCTGTGATACGTGCCAACACAATTTGAGTTCCAATAAAACAGAAAATTCAAATTCGAATAGTTGCTTACCACAAGCAATCTTGAACTCGAAGAAACGAATGTTTGGGATTATAAGGAAGGACAAACAAACTACCGCTATCAATTTACACTCGACAACCAATAAAACGAACATAGTACTCCCATATTGCTAGAACATATACATGCCACCGAGCCACCCACCCACCCACTCACACACATATATATCTTTATATATATATTATACATATATATATATAAAGATATATATATATTATATCTATATATTTGTATATATG